GAGAACCACCCTTGGGCAAGGGAGACGTTCCCTGCCGGCAGCAGGAGCTGCCCCCGCTCGCACGTGGGGCCGGGCAGCGAGCACCGTCCCATCCCGCCGGGCATGCAAGCCCCGCGCGCCGAGAGCGCAGGGCACCCGCGATGCCACCTGCAGCGGGGACGCTCGGGGAGCAGCCTTGCAAGCAGCGAGGGGGGGCAGGGGGACCCCTGAGCTGGCCCCAGGGCGGTGTCACGGCCCCGGTCCCCCCTGCCCCGGCGGCCGGGCCCTGCTGCGGCCGTGCCAGGCGCTTACATACACGTGTCTCCTCTTGACATTGTGGCTGCGGGCAGCAGCGCTCCCAGGCTGCGGCGGCTCCTAAACACCCGACAAGGCGCCCGGCACCTACCGCTGCTCTCTAGTAGCAGCGCCGCCGCGCGCGGCCCGCACAGCCGCATACCCCCCCGCTCGCCTCGCCTTTGGGCTCGTTTTGCTTGATTTCCCCATCTATCTACATGTATTTCTATGCTCGGTGCTGTTATAAAGCCCCATGGTGCACAATAGGGAGTGGGGTTGATCAGTGAATTCTTAAGATGTTTTTTTCCATGGTCTGGGTGCATATGCAGCTTCCAAACACCATGTCTTGTTGTGTCTACGCCTCTTTTGATAGTTACAGCACCTTATGCAAAGCTGTGAGGGGAAGAAAAGATGGTTTTCCAAATCCTAGAGTGGTGTCTTTCGGGAATCATAATGTCGGTGCGGAGTGGGCAGACTGGACCCCCCAAATCCAGATGCATGCTCCCTAAAGCAGTAGCTTGTTGGCATCCAGCAGAGCTCTTTTCTTTTCTTTTTTCTTTTCTTTTCTTTTCTTTTCACTATTTTTTTTCCCAGACACTGCTGATCACCTGTGTAAACGAGTGCCTATAATTGCATACTCCCTGTCCGGGATTTCCTGCTCCCAGAGGAGCCAGAGCTTCTCTTTGTTTACTATCAAAGGCCCCCGGAGTCTAAAGTTCAGCGCTCAAAGATAACAGACCTTTGGAGCAGAGTTTCTTTCTCTGAGGAATGGAAGCAAAAAGTAAGAGCTGTTATGAACAGGTCAATTCACCCAAAAATAAAATTTCAGGCCCCATGGATCCAATCCTGCCTTGCAAAGCACTGGGCTAAGGAGACGGCTGCAGGACACAGCTGGCATCTCAAGGACAGTTCCTGTGGCGCAAGCGCTGGGGAAGGGGCTGCACAGGAACCCTTGGGGCCTCCCACCCTGTGGCACTGAGCCACCAACTGCACCCATGTTAGAGCCGAAGCTCCAGGGAGGACCAGGGCGGTGGTGGAAACCTGCCCTTGACCCTCGAGCCTCCTGCCTGCCCCAGCCCAGGGCAGCTGCTCATGTTTGGGAGATGCCGCCGCTCTTGCAGTCACACTGGGCAGCAGCTTCGCGCCCGTAGCCCAGGAGCTTTCGACAGCCTAATTAGCTCAGCTCCCCAAACTGGGTTTCTTAACGCAGAGCCGCTGTGAGCCCTGCCACGGGAAGAGGCAAAGTCCTCAAAATCTTGCAAGCAGCCAATACCTGGGGCCCCTTGGCTGCTGCCTCAGCACTTGGGAGGCTCCAGGATCCGGCACTGCCCCGGCCCGAGACTGCTCTCGCAGCTTGGGGACAGCAGCATCCTGCCAACCACAGTTGTGATCCAGGCTGGGACCCAAAATAGCCTGCAATTATCACCGGGAACCTCGTGGATTCCAAGGCTCGGACCCAAGCGTGGGGAAGGTGTCACCTGACGCAGCCCGTGCGGCCGCAAACCCGCCAGGACGTGCAGAACCCTCTCGGCCTCCCCCTGCAGCCTCTGAACGGGCCCAAAACAGGGGGTCTCCCTAGGAGAACGACCCGCTCTCCTTTTCCTTTAGGGAAAAGTCCCAGGAACGGGAGCGGCACAAACCGGGGGAGGGAGGAGGGGGGCGGAGCAGCGCGGCGCCCACGTGACCAGCGCGACCCCGCCCCCTGCCGCGCCG